AGGTGAGTTACTTTCAACAAAAGCTGAGAGGCATTAGACAAAGATTCGAATGCTTGAATGCATGAAAGTCTCGGGTCGAAAGGCATGACGCTTATGGCGATGGGACTGATCGGCGGGGAGCACATTGGAGAGATGCGCCTTTGGGACAAAAGGTTTGTGACCGAGTTGTTGGCATTCGGGATGAGGATGCCTACGACGATAGGCTTATTCGGTTAGGAAGTGTTAACACAAAGATTAACAAAGATCTGAATAATTACCATAAGCAGCTGCGACATTGTGCAACCGGTTTGGACGACCGGGACCAGTAGCGCGGGAGCACGACTGAGTTCAAACGACTCAGTCTTATGAGTTGCATTGCACGTGAGTTTTCGAGCTGTGATATACCGTTCCGGCTCAGCCTTGTGAGTCGCGTTGCTACCACCCCGGCTCGGTCTCGCGAGTCGCGTTGAACGCGTTTTGAGTTGTTCCACCAATCTCGCCTGGACTGCCGGTCTAATTTGTTCGGTGGTATGACATTCAGGAGAGGGACATCAGGCTCCTAAAGATTGAAAGTAATACTTAGCCTGTTTATCATCAGGGATAACTTCAACCGACCGTCTTGCTCAGATAAAACCCGATGCAAGAAATGTTTGATGCCGTAGATAACTTCCCGGTTCTCAGTAATGAGCGAGAAAACTGCTTTAAAACACCATCAAGTTGAAGTTCTGCCAGAAATATCGCGCGGTGTTTCAGCTGACCTTGTCGCCGACCCCACCTTCCAAGTCCCACTTAGTCCCACACGGGTTCCATTTTTTATGACCAAAGATGGGATACAGCCTCAGCGATCGACACGCAACAGGATTGGAGTCAAGTTTTAAGAGCAATGTGAACCAGCGAGATAACTTAATCAACTTGAACCGGGGGAGTTTAGAATCCTGGCCCATAATCAGGAACCAATGATGCAATATAACATAATATTTGTGATCAACATTTTCGTGGGCTGCGCTTGTTGAACGACGTTCAAACTAGTTCACCTCCCGAGACCCGGACCAATCTACAAAACATAAAAACGACGCCGTCGCATTTGTCCTGCTCGCTGTGGGGCATCAATTTAAGCACGGCAATCTGAACCATAGTGAACAGTGCAGATGGAATTTCGATAGAAGTGAAACTTCCAAAACATTCATTGAATGATAAATCAAACATCAAGTGACAACTAACACGTGATCTAATAACGGATAGGGGGGAAGAGACAGGCACACGGGACATTTCAAGGATGCTAAAAGTCTTCATAGAAACTCGGGTCCAAACCAGCCTTAGCTCGGTCTAGAACACCAAGTGCAATCGGGAAGTTTAGTGGTTGGGAATAGAACAACACCAGGGAAATATCTTCAGTATACGCGACGATAGGTAGCACACAAATTTACGGGCTGCAAGATGGGGTTGAAGTGTTAAAACGACAAGCTGACCTTCGACATTGAAAGGGGGTTTCAACTTCCCAAAGAAATGTGTTTTCACCTTAACCGAAAAAATTGCGTAATCAGACAGGCTGGAGAGATGGTCTCTTTTTTTGGGTGTTTGAGAAAAAGTAGGAAACCTTGGGGCTAACCTCTTTTCTGAAGACGCTGACTGGCGCAGTTTTCGGTACAGAATTGTTGCAGATGTAACAGAGCCAGCGGTGGCCTGGGGATAATGAAAAAGGGCCAGAGTCTTAGAGCATGCAGGCGTGTAGAGATGCGCGTAGGACTCACCAGCTGCCACATGCGTCACCTCATCAGCATGTATGATTTCCAGCGATTGTGCGGTCTCCAACTAGAATAACTCGTCATCGTTAGCGACGGAGAAACAGAAAATACGAGCTATTCTCAATGACTAGCTTACATCTCCGGCGTCCCGAACTCTCTTAATCTGCGTGGGGTTCACATCCAAGCCACGCGCTCTGTGCATTACCAAAATATGAGCAAAATATTGCAACCTTCCCTCAAAGGTTTATAGACTTACTCATGAACAAGCTACCAGTTGGAATAACAAAATTCCATGAGAGTTTTATGCGCTGTTAGGATCAGATCAAGAATGGTCTCCTCAAGTGCCATGATGAAATGAAGAACTGACATGAATTATGCAGATCCTCGATATCAGAGAGTGCGACGTATCGCGAGCTGACTGCCAAAGCCCTTGCATTTGGGAAAATCATATGGCTTCAACCACTGTCGAAAACGCATTATTTCAGACATTAAAACAGACATACCATCGTGAATCGGCAGTTCTCCCCAATCACTACCTAACCTTCTTAAGGCTTCCCTGAGCAAGGTAAAATGTTTTGCCTCATCCTCTGCTACCTGAAATAAGAAAAAAAATCCCGTCAGTCAAGAAATAAATGGAAGGCTGTCAGCAGAATTTTGGAGAGTAAGAACTCAAATTCAAAATGAGATTAATGCTCAACTTTACCAAAATCAGTAAAAAATGCCCTGGGTAATAACTTCCCATTTATTTTTTCTTGAGCAAAACGCGTGATTATATCCCAAGCCAAGTCGATTGCCCACAGCTCGATATTTGCCAAAGCATGTAGAAGTTTGATGCGATTAGCCAGACTGCCACCCTTTCCTCTTTTCAAGACATCACCAGGTCGGACCATTTGGACCGATTCACGAGATGGTGTTTCAGGAGGGAGTGAAAATTCCTCGGGGGTAGTCGAGAGAGCCAGGATCGGGATGTCTCCCTTCCGGAATAATCCAACGGCATGTCGGGTCAGGTTGACTTTCAAATCTGGATTCGAAGTTCGGAGGATCAGAGCACCCCATTCCACTAACGATTCAGGGCGTGGTCGTTCCAACGATTGGATGGAACTTTCAAGCTTTTCAGCATCAAGGTTGGGTATCGCGAATCCTGATGGGTGATGAGGTTGAGGCAAATGCAGTAGTGAGCACTAAGAGTTACAAGCACGATTCTGCTGGGGTTTCAAGATCTTAAATAAGCCGGTTGGTAATCAGAGACGAACGTTGGGAGACGGGCCGTACTGAGATGAGCGTCCAATCAGTTGCTCCGCTGGGATATCCAATATAAAGGTTCCCATCTTTGATCGAAGTTGGCAGGACGCATGCCGTCAAGCCGGAAGAAGATTCTCCTGTTCGCAAGTTGAAATCATAACTAATCGTAAGAATGAGACATCAAATTGGCGGGCGACAGCGTCCTTGAACATTTCAGAGATAGTGTTTAAAACATTCAAGTTACTAAGACAAAAGACCCAACTTGTGCCAAGGACAGATCGCAACGACTCCGTCATCTTCGATTTCAATCTCGGCTTCAGCCATCGAGGCGCCCAGATGAGGGCATTCTTCTTCCATGGCATGCCATTCGCGAGCATGAGAGGCAAGCGCGACCGAGTCTAGCCTTCTGGCCAGGTCCTTCTCGACATCCAGTTCCGGTCCAGTCGGCCTCGGGTGCTCTTTCTCCACCGCATAAATCACGATCGAATGGTACTTCGATTCCAAGGAGATCGAGCGAAGAGACACGATAAATCGGGAGTGCGCGTTGAGCTCATCGAGCTTTCCGATCGAGATCATCGTGAGTATGGGATGGTTGTGGTGTTTCACCTCACCCGACACTTCTTCAACTCAGCTCCGGCCAGGTGCCCGCTGAGCACCCGGGAGTCGGGACACTCGGGTCCTTCTCCGGTCTGAGGTCGATCCGGCAGACGTCCATCGGCCGGCCAAGGCGGCACTGGGCGACCGGGCGATCGCAAATTGCCGCGGGTTCCGTTCTCAATAACACCAGCCAACTGCGGCAATATGTATGAAGGCAATTTGCGGGGTGCTGCTCCCATTTCTACTTTCAAGTCAGTCTTTGGTAATTGTTGACCGAAAATGTGCTCAAGGAATCTGTGTCTGGCATGGAAACCCTCATCCGGAATGAGAGAATTGAGTTGTAATTGATGGTTCCATCAGTGATGGCATGTCTCAATCTAAAGTGGGAATATCACAAACTCAATTGGTAAGATCATGATAAAATTATCAAAACTTGTTTGCTACCCATGACAAGATTAATACAGTCTATTAGGGCAGTTCATGTTGCACCAAAACTGCTGCTGATGTGGCACAAGGTTTGTTTGCTGATGCAACGCTGTCACAGATACGATACATTGTATGTATCATGGAGAATTCTGCAAAGCTGCATGGCCAAAAACCAAATTTGTTGAATCTCCTTGCAAATAAAAGCAGATTGGTCAGATAGGTTTTTTTATTGGGGCTCAGATACATAGTGATACATGGCAGATACATGGCAGATACCGTATCTGTGACAGCGTTGGCTGATGCACAAACTTTGTGAACTTTAATTGTGGGATTTCAACTCCAAAGGGGAGCCTCCCACTAAGCTCTGTTGCTTTCCCATAAACCTTAAGATAGGAATTCTAACAAGGTTTGACTGCTGATGGTCAACATCAGCAGAACGTGAACTGCCCTATTAAGCAGCAGTGGGCCGCTACGCTTTTGGCCCAAAAAGCGTAGGGTAGCGGCGCTTTCTTTGCATCAAAAAATTGTAGTGTTAGCGCATTTTTGCTGCGCTACGGCGCTTTTAGTGGTAAAGGCGGCTAAAAACCACTAAAAAGCGCTGCAACGCTGGGCCAGCTACACTAATGGTAGTGGTTAGCCTAGCGTAGTGTAGCGCAAATACGCTACATTGTAGCGTAGTGTAGCGCAAATTTCTGTATCTGTGCTAAATGCTACGCGTATGGGCTGCAAAAAAGGGCCCACTACATTGCGCTACAGGTTTGGTGTGCTGTTCTGAGGGCCGCTACACTAAACGTTAGGGGGCCGTTTAGTGTAGTGTAGCGTAGCGGCCCACCGTTGAGCGCTGTAGCGCAGCGTAGTGGGCCCTTTTTTGAAGCCCACACACGTGGTGTTAGCGGTGTTGTGGCGGAATTCCGCTACGCTACGCTTAGCGCTAATGGGAATTCTGCTGTGTTAGAGCATTCGCATTTGTTGGCTAAAATTTCAGGTTAATTAAACCTGGGTTTGTGGCCAGGTTAGCTAGCCCAAGGGTGCAACCACATTGGATAGGTCAAATTCAGGTCAGCTAACCTAAATCCCGACTGCTAACCTGAGGCAACCACATTGGAAAGTGTGAATCCTTCTTTTACAAAGACCCCCGAATGCCAGCACGAAAGCTCAATACCTCTCTCCAGTGGATGATGGCAGAGCCCGATCCACTTGAAGAAACACTCCGATTCCTGACCAATAGTGACAGCGATGAAGATCTCCCCAAGAACACTCAAGGACCAAGCAAAAATCAAAGGAGGTTGGAAGGGGAGCAGAAGTTGCAAGAAGATTATCTCTCAACTAACGCGGTTTACAGCGGTATGGATTTCAAACGAAGATTTCGAATCACAAAAACTCTCTTTGCAAGGACCAGCAAGGATTTGGCCGAACATGACAGGTATTTTGTGCAAAAGCGGGTGAGTCTCTTGATACTCCTTGTTTTTATAGTTTTGATTTCATCTGACATTTTATTACACAGGATTGCACCGGTGTTTTGGGTCTCAGTACTGAACAGAAGACAGCAGCTGCCTTACGGATGCTTGCTTATGGAGTTGTGTCGGATGCCACGGACAAATACTTGCAAATTGCTGATACAACCAGTTGAAATACACTACATGTGTTTGCAAAAGGAATCGTCGAACTCTATCAAGGAGAACTTCTCAGAGCTCCAAACGTGAACGATCTACACAAGATTCTCTACAACAATGCCAAGCAAGGCTTTCCTGGATGCATTGGGAGTCTCGATTGCACCCACTGGAGCTGGAAGAACTGTCCTGTTGCTTTGGCAGGACAGTACAAGGGTAAGGAAAAGTATCCAACTGTCGTTCTTGAAGCAGTAGCAACCCAAGACATGCAGATATGGCATGCCTTTTTTGGATCACCAGGCTCTTTGAATGATCTGAATATCCTCGACCGATCTCCTCTGTTTGAAGATACCCTTTATAAGTGTGGTTCTCAAGTTGAGTTTGTCATTAATTGCAATAAATACCACTATGGTTACTATCTTGCGGATGGAATCTACCCAAGCTGGTCAACTATGATGAAATCAAAGCCAAGCAGCGACAACAAGCCATCCAAAGCATATACAAAGGCTCAAGAATCTGCCCGGAAGGATATCGAGCGTGCGTTTGGAGCTCTCAAAGGTTGATTTCAAATCTTGGATCGCCCAGGCCGTGTCTTTACTACTTCTAGAATGCAGAACATCATGTTATGTTGTATAATTCTACATAACATGATAATTGATGAGCAAGCCAAACCAATCCACATCCCAAATACGCTCCCATACAACACTTGGGTGATTCCTCCTAATCCCAACCAGCGAGCACTCAGTTCAACCGAGGTCAGTTTCAGACAAATGGACATGCATTCAGAGTTCAAATACACCTACCTTTTGCAAGACCTTGTGGATTTGCAACATGCTCGATACCTCGCGACAAAACAAACCCTTGATAACAATAGCAAAAGCGATGACGACAGGAGCGATGGGGATAGGAATAGTGGCTAGCTGTCTCATTTATATTTTCTTATTTCACACTTCATATTTTAAATTTCAAAATGTTAAATATTCCATTTACTTGACAATGATAAATATAACATTTTGAGAGGTTGAGTGAGACTAAAGTAAGATGACAAAGAAATAAGTGGGAGATCTGACTGTGATGACTGTTAGAAGGCTGAGAAAAATAGAGCACAAAATATCTTGATCAAACTAGGTCATTCATAACCATTGGATCAATAAGATCCTCCACAGCCGTTCATGTCGTGTCACCTTCTTCATTTTCTATCGGATCTGTTTCATTTTGGGGCAGGAGTTCAGACCGATCTTCAGTTTCTCAAGAGGTAGATTGGCTTTTTTTCAGTTCCTTTTCTCGCATCTTGGTAATGATTGCCTTCTTTTGTTTGGTGAAGTATTCCTTAGCATAGTCGTCGGTAAGAGTATTGAGATCTTTCTCCATTTGGTCAGACTTCAATGCCACTTCGATTTTGGATAGAGTGTTTGTTTCTTCTTGCAACGTGTTTTCTCGCTTAAATTCAGCACTTTGTTTTTCGCCTTTGGCAGCATTCTTCTCCATAATCTTGATTTTTTTTCTCAGATGCACAATCCTCAGCGTCTTTTATTTTCGCTTGCTTGATACCCATTGGTCTCGAATCAACATCATTGACACTTGTAGAGGAGTCATTTGCAGCATCGGATGTTGGTGTTTGAGATGCATTTGCACTCATTTTGGACAAAGGTTCGGGTTCATCGTTGACAACTATGCTTGGTCGCTTGTTTTTACTATTACCGTTTGGGCTGGCATCTCTCCACTTTTCATGGTTTCAAAGGATGGACCAAGCGGAATTGTGTGAGAACATTTTTCGGGTATCATCGTAGTAAGCCTCTTTGCCATCTTCAGGTGATCGGCTTCTGTTGTTCCGGAGGGTGGGTTGTTCTTGATCTTGTTGTAATACCCAGCAAACTTGACAGTAGCCTTTTGAAGAAGATCCCATCTTAAAACAACATGTAAATCAATGAATTGAAACATATTCCCAAAAAAATGGCTTTTTAAACTCACCGATTAGAAAGCATTTTTGACTCCCTCATTGAACCCCCTGTATGTTCATGGAAACTGTTCGTGATTCGTTCCCAAAAATCGGTGCTTTTCTGGGAATTATTGACAAGGACGTTCTCGGAGGTTTCAATCCAAAAACGGGCCAATATCGCGTCTTCATTCGGAGTAAAGTTTGGGGTTCTTGTGGACTTTGTTGTGGCCAACATCCTTGGAGATTTTCTTGGTAGTTGGTCACTATGGATGTCATCTCCCCCGACATGGTCGGGGAGGCTAACCTGTAGTGTTTTCAGGTTTATTATTGCATATTCAGATTGTCCTAGCCTGCCTTGACCTGCCAGGCTTACGCCCGCTAAATTTAGCGGGCGTAAGCCTGAAATCAAACCTGAGGTTTGTTGACCCAGGTTTAGCCTGGGCCAATGTGATTGCCAGTCAGGTTAAGTTGCCAAAAATCGGCAATTTAACCCGACGAATGCAAATGCTCTTACACCACACTAACCGCTACGGTTAGTGTAGCGGCCCACCGTTGTATAAGACAATGTTTAACTCACACCTTGCTATCACAACTGGCACAAATGTCATCTTCCAGCCAAAGGAATGATGCACAGTAAAGTTTATACAATTTCTTGTTTGGGCAATCACTTAGGCAGTATTAACTCAAAGGCACAGGATTATCATCTTTAAAAAATTGGTCTTACATTTTTTTCTTCTTAATGCCAAAGAAGGATATGAATAAACCAAGATAATTGTGGCCTGGTTGCTGGCAGTTTACTGTGTGCATGACTGTAATCCTTGAAGTATCAAACCAACACGCACTTCTTCTTCTGCTTGGTTGGGCTCTCAAGGCCATTCCAGTTCCATCATGTTCTATCAAGTCTCTATAGTTGTTTCGGGGCTCTTGTAATGAGCTTCAGCTCCCGGGGTTTTTGATAGAGGGGGGGGGGGATTTTCTGTTTGGTTAAGCGAGAAAGTGATTTTTGTCAGCTGAGTCGGGCTTAAGACCTCTGTAAAAAGCCCAACAGAAGAGCAGTTTACGCTTGGCAATATATTAGAAAAATGGCTTCGACCTAAAATGGGTTTTTGACTCTTCTTGCAAGATAATTGTCTGCTGCTGCCCTGAAGAGGTTGAGGAAATTCTCACTTTGAATCGGTAAAAAAATGACGCTGCTCCTAGGGAGTATGATGTTGGAGGCCCAAAGCAAATACGTTTTTGGCTCTGTTGGGATTTTATTTGCCGTGAGAAAACCCCATGAAAGCTTTCTTGAAAAGTGGGAAGACTATTTCTGGTAAAACAGAATTATAGTAGCAGATCAATATTGCTGGGAATTTCAAATAGGTCCAGAAAACCGGATGATAAGAATATATAAATTGTATTAGGGAATTTGAGAACCGACTAAGATGAGTGTGCGTGAGCTGTTGCACCCAGTTTGAAAATCAGGCCTTAGTCTCAGCATCACTGCTGGACGGGATGAGCATACGTGTTTGGCCCTCTTTCTGGACCTGCCAAGGGGTTCTGACATAGTAAAAATCATTGAAAAAACCTCCATAATGTTCGGTCGCGAGTGGTTGTCGGTCCAAATAAGTGATTGAGTAGTCGACTGTTTCGTCGTGGTGGTTTGGATCCACCGGAGGGCGGGGGGGTGGGAAGGGGGATATATATACCCTGTTGAGAAGATTCTTCCAGTTCACCCCTTCCTGCAAGTAGATATTCCCATTAATGAGATGAGCCATCGAAAAATTTCTGCTCTCTGCGGAATTGGACAACAGTGCTTTTAGGAGCTCTGTGGCATTGTAATCAATTTCAAAGGGTAATTCCACTTGTCCTGTACAGATTAGTAGCTTTAGCTTTCTGTTATTATCTGCTCGGGGCCCAAATTCCCACGAAAAGACGAGTCAGTACTACGAAGATGGTATGCTTGAGTTTTGTAATAAAGAAATTCTGTGGACGCACCCCTGTGGAATCTTTGGTCTGATCGTTCACTTGCGACATCAAATGGATAGCAGGCAAAAACGCTCAGGTACATGATGACTCCCAGGGCCCACCAGTCAATGGAGGGGCCGAAATCTTCGCCTCTAATCATCTCTGGGGCCATGAAGTGCACAGTTCCGAAGCATGAATTTGGGAGCTCATCCCGAGTGGTATCGCGGGCAAGGCCGAAATCACCAAGTTTCAGGTAACCACTTTCCGACACAAAAATGTTGTTAGGATTCACATCTCCGTGAACGATATTCTTCTCATGGATATAGTCCAGGGCCATGATCAGTTGACATATGTAAAATTTGGCTTTGGCAGGGTCCATGGGCTATCAAAGTTCATATGGCACGGAAGGGCAATCATAAGCGGTGGTGTCTCCTGCAGAAGAACAAAAAACACAAGGGAAGAGACAAGGAGAGTACTGACTGCATAGGCTTCCAGGTAATCATGAAAGGTCCCATTCGTTGCGACTTGCAGTCCAAGGAACAGATGGTCTTGATTTTGGAAGGCAGATTCAATTCTGATCACGAAAGGGTGATCAAGTGAAGCCAAGATTTTCGCTTCGCTTTTGAGAGCTCCAGCGACGGATGAAAAGGCGCAGTCCTTCTTAGTCATGACTTTCATGGCACAAGAATGTCTATCGGAGCGACGGCAGGCCAGGTAAACATTGCCAAAGGAACCAGTGCCCAGGACCCTAGATAAGTGGTATTCAGAAAGATTAGGATAATCAGGATACTGTATGGGACTTGTGGGGCGGACATGGTCTGTGTCATTGGGGTCGGATGAGCCGATTCTGAAGGAAACAGCGCTCTCGGTCGGCATCAGGGGCTCAGTGACCGTAGAAGATGGTTTGAACAATCTATTCGGTTCCTGCGGAAATAGACCTCTTGGAATATCAGGATTCATGTTGGAGTGAAGCGGAGTGGAGAGTAGAGGACTTCGGTTGATGATGCTCCGTGGTGAATGTTGAGGTGTTTGGTAGGAAGCTTGCTGGTAGGCGAAAACGGGGAAGTGTGGTCTCCATGCTGACCCATAGGTGAGCCATTTTTATGAGAAGCTACGCTTTCACTCTTGAAGGGATAGATCAGGAAAAGCTTGAAGCTTGGAAAAGCTTTTTCAATCAAATGTCGCGCCGCTGTTTATAGCAGTGGTTATTTGGCACATCCAAAAGTCGAACGCGAATTACATTCTTCACGCATCTAATATCGGCACTTTTTTATTCATCTGGGTTGACAAGAACAGAAAAATCCATTTAGAACTCGTTGAGAATGTATAAAATAATCTTAGGCTCAAATGCTAAGGGGGAATATTACATAGAAGGAAGTGCAGTGTGATACTCGAAAGCATCAACTTGAAAAGGGCGAGACTCTTTACCATTCGAGGCGAAGCTAGATTGCGCGGGTGGTATGCAGAGTCACAAAAAGACGCGATCATGTACCTAACTTAACTAATTCCCGCCCCCGGGTCCCTGCGGGACAGAGTCCTCCCTCCGAACAGTGGGACTTGGTTATGATAGGTTAGCCACAAAGGTTGAAAAAAGTTAAAAAGTGTACCCGGCAACAAGTTATAACGACATCCAAAGGGGGCAACCGGGTTAGATGACCTGGACCAGCGGCGCGGAGGTAAAAATCCCGCCCAGCTCAACCGCACTGCTTCCTCCTGCTGTAGACTAGCACACGGGCCTTGAGGCGTGTCACATGTGTTTTCATCCCTGACGCATATGCCTTGGATAGTGAAAAGAAATTTTTGGCCGGACTTGCATGATCGTCTATGACTTTCTCTTCGTGGCCCTCCACAAAGAATTGGGAAAATGAAGAAGACATGAGGCAACAGAAGGCGCCAAAACAGAGAATACGATTCTCATGTGAAATTCTTAACCCGCATCAAACTCGACTGATTGAGGTTCCACATCAACTGAACCTTGCAGGGGCAGTTTGAGAATATGGCAAAATGATTTTCATTTCACAACTACTTGTCATTTGCTTGGAAAATTATCAACAACAAAGTTGAATTCATGTGTAAAGGTTTGAACAAGTCGAGGTTTTGGTCAACTTGCGACTGGCTCATTCCTCAAATTTTCAAGCGGGAACCATGTTATCAGGCGGAGACCATGTCAAAAGGTGGTTGAATTTATCGTTCATTGTTCAAAAAACAAAACAATGCAATCAAGACGGACTTTGCATGTCATGTGTATCTTTATGAGGTGATAGATCGAGCGGTTTCTCTACTTATTCTGTGCTTACTCATGATAATCACGGCGTCCTTCAAGTCGGGGTTGGGAAACTGAAAGGTAGCGGCAGGTGCCCCTTTCGTTGAAAAATGATGTGGTTGGATCAACTGTGATTGTATTTCATTGAGTTAATTACAACACACTTCAGAAAACTGGGGGCTTCTAACTGCCACGGGGGAGACTAGCAAGGATCGCATGCTTGAATTTGTGATGATTAATGATTTTTGTTCCAAAAGTGGCAAAGAGCAGGAGTTTTGAATTTGTGAGGTTCCCGGTCAGGATGTGTCCAACGTCTTACCAAGGGGCACCAGGGGCCACGTAATGGAAGTCGTCAAAGAGACCAGGGAATTGATCTGTACGCTTACCGTTAACTTGGCTGACGTACCTAGGAGAATAATCTTTTTGAGTTTCAGCCAAAAGTATGTGAGCGTCTTCAGGTTTGAAGGGTGTCTCGTAAGCTTGGGCCAAGACCTTATCCCAGCGGATGCCGAGGAAGTAGACATACTCATCGGCAATGGACGCTCTGTTGAGTAACCTCCGGTTGGGAGAATTCGATAACAATCTCTTCAAGAATGATAGGCAAGGGAAAGAGACGGGGTAAGGTATTCTGTACTCCCCTGAGACGATGAGTAACTTGACCCGATTTTGGTCATCTAGAATGCATGAAAGTGGGGAAAGTGGAATTTATGAGTATCTGCTACGCACATAGTGAAATGTGGAGACTTGTATATGCTTGTAAAGAGATGATGGAATTGGGGACGTACCTCTAGAAAACCTGTGGTTTGAGTTAGGTAGCCTCTGCAAATCAAAGGGAAAACGCCCAAATAGGGATTGGTACAAGATAATTCCCAGAGCCCACCAGTCGATCGAAGGACCAAAAAAGCTACCGTCAATCATCTCAGGAGCCATGTAGTACACGGTGCCAAAGATTAGGTTTGGGGGTGTGTGATCGGTGAGTCTGCGGGCTAGCCCAAAATCAGCCAGTTTCAAGTATCCGTTGGCTGATACGAGTAGGTTTTCTGGCTTCAAATCGCCATGAATTATGTTGTTTTCATGGAGATAGTCAAGTGCTAAGATGATCTGGCATACGTAGCCCTTGGCAATGCCAGGTTCCATGGGCTGTGAGAAAGAAAGTGAATAGATTAGTGTCGTGAAGTGCTTGATGAGGCCATACATACAACAAATTTGGAGCATGGCTGGCACTTACTGCAAACTGCTCCAGTAAATCCTGAAAAGTGCCACCAACAGCGAGCTCAAGTCCAATGAACAAGAAATCTTGGTTTTGGAAGGCGGATTCAATTTTGACAATGAACGGGTGATCAAGGGATGCCAAGAGGTGAGCTTCTTTTTTCAAGGTATCATAGACAGTAGAGATGGCGCAGTTCCGTTTAGACATGACTTTCATGGCACAGGGGTGGTTATCAATTCGACGACGGGCGACGTAAACGTCTCCCCAAGCGCCTTGTCCAAGCCTTTTGGTCAGTTGATAGTCAGATAATGAGGGGTGTTCAGGTTGGGCTACGGGACTGGGAGAGCTGGGAGATTGTTCTTTCTGATCAGCATATTCCAGGAAATCGACGGAGCCGCCAGCAGCTGTCGTAAAGTAGAGAGTCTGTTTTGCCGAGGCCCATTTGGAAGGACAAGTCTGGGGCTCGGAATCAGATGGAGCGCGGTCAGCCATTGAGTTGAAAAGAAGTGGAGCTTAAACGGTTTAGGGTGATTGTGCTTGCTGGTACAACGACTGCTGGGGGATTGGAAGCGGGCAGGAGAAGACGTGTGAGGATGGTAGATAGAGGGCCGGGGGGTGTGCGAGGAACAGGTGCTTCTTATAAAATTCATTGCTGCATTCGGGAAAAGCTGAGCCCTTGGTGAACTTTCTCAAGGAACGGTGTTGTAGCTTTTGATGAGGGTGTGCTGCTTTTGATAATGACAGACGCTGTTTTGTGGCTTTTCAAACTTTGCCTTTGTGGAAAAAAGTCTAATCACAGCCCAGCAGCCAATATGTACCAATGATACCTTTCAAGTTTCCCCGGATCTTACCTGCCTACACTAAGCGACGCGACGTTGAGCACTGAGGTAAAATACGTGTTCAAAAGCCCTCAGAAAGCGAACGAAGCACCAGTTCAAAACGGGCGTTTGCAACGAGGGCATCGCGCTGGAAAACTAAGTCCGGATTGTCGAGATCTTGCTCACCTCCGTCAGGAGTAGGTGGGCGGGGCCGGCGAACTGCAGCGTCCCCACTGAGTGGTCAGCCGGTTCGCTACATTAACCGTGTTTCGACTCGAGGCAGGTTCGCGACTGGCTTCGAAGGGCACGCGAGGGCCTCAACAAAGGCCCGCGGGTCGAGCCTCGAGGGATCAGTCGAGTTCCGCCCAAGTCGCGAAGGACCTCCCCGACATCTCCGAGCGACGTGAGAGACGAACTTATCGCAAGTCTCAGGCTGCGGGGGGCGCATGCATCTGGCAGCGTAGCGCTGGCCAGGCGGTTCCCGAAGGGAACTCCCCGCAGGGGAGACTTGGGCCAGAGGTCGACAAACTCAGGTGCTGAGTTTCTGGTGTTTTGGTGGGAGCGTCACAAGATTTGAAATCATGACGCTCCCTCAAAACTTTTTTGATGTTTGGTCTCGAATTTTTCAAGACCTGCCTGATCTTATTGATCAGGCCAAATTTCAAAATTTTAAAATCACAAAAGTAATCAATATTGATTTTCTAAACTCAACGTTTGAACTTTTTTTACGCTCACATAAGCAGCTTAATGAACTCGCGCACACCAAAAAAAACTCAACTTTTGTTGAAAAGTTGTCATTTTCAAAAATAACTATATCAAAATTGACAAAATTGCAAAATAATGTGAGGAGAGGGAAACATTTACAAGAAGCAGGCCCTCCTTGGTCCACAAGGAAATTAGATAATAGTGGAAGAGGAAGAGCATAGGTAGAAAAATGCACAAAAAACTGGCTTTTAAGCCCAAATTTGAAAACTCAGCACGCGGGGATTGCCGCATCTGTCTTAGGCCTCCACTGGCGTGGACAGCTCCGCTGCTCGCTCCCGCTCCCGCCGTGGAGGCCTAGTTAGGCTCGCGTGAGAGAGGTCCTTCAAGAGTGGTGTACACCTATTTTGCGACATCAGGTGTCGAGTTCAATTGGTACATTTCAGCATTGAACTTTCAACAACCCAAACCACAAAATTAGGCATTGCGAGTACTACGTGGTGCTTTTGGCCTCAGGATGGAAGTTGAGACATACACCATCTCATAACTAGACCCAATCATATGCTGCTTTTAATCTCTGCATAAAGATAGCAGCTCATCCTACTGGACACTGAAATAGATGAGAGCACATGTTACATTTGAAGGTGTTAGCTGGGGAGCCATGTATTTTTCCCCACCACTTTCTAACTCTTGAAGTTGAACTGCACGGTTAAGATATCCTAAAATGGATTTTATGGTGCTGCCACTGGCCAGTATTGACCATTGTTTGTTTGCTTGTTTTTGTAATTTTTGAATTCATCATGATTTCATTAGGGGGTATCAAATATAGCAAATCCACCTTTGCAAACCCGTCAATTATTTTTTTGAAATCCACGATTATTAATTGACGGGTTTCCAAAATCCACCTCCATCAACCCCAACGGGTTTTGAACAAAAAAACACACATCTTTTCACCTAAACCAGTCAATTAAAATATCCCATTTGTTTCAACTCATATCACCGCCAATTTTCACTTGCACCGCCAAACTTCACCTCATCAGCACCGATCATCCCACCACCAAACTGATCATCTGACCACCAAACTTCACATCATCACCACCAATCATCCCACCACCAACTCATCATCATCAACACCAAGATCGCCTCCACTCAAGTCCTCAAAAGCAATCATGCCCAAAGTATCTCGAAGAAAGAAAATAATCGAAGCATCCAATGTTGCTGCAATGGCCATGATGGACGATTCAGATTCAGATCACGACTCAGAACTTGAAGAATTTTACTTTTTCTCTATGAGCCAGCTTCAAAAACGATACCTAGTAGCTCAAAACTCCACGACACGATTTGATCCTCGTTATGACTTGTCTGAGCTTCAAGAACTTCCAGAATTAAGCTTTGTGCAGATGTTTCGTATGACTTTTCCTTGCTTCCTCAACCTGGTACAGCTCATCGAACAAAACCCCATCTTCTACAACAACTCTCGTAATCCCCAAAGGGATCCACCAATCCAAATTGCTGTAGCAGTATGTCGTCTTGGATCAAATGGAAACGGTTCAGCTATCTACAGGCTCAAATATATTTGATACGCCCTGACAAAAGAAGTAGGTTATTTGGTCACTGCAAAGGTGGATTTGGTAAGTGTGGATTTCTCAAAACCAGTCAATTAAAAAGTGGTGGATTTCGTTATATTTGATACCCCCTATTGTGATACATCAGTTTTTTGGTATTCTGAATCCTGATGGCTTGGCTCATCCCAAAAGTTAGCTGCTTCCATATTGATCAATTTTAATTGCAGAATGGAAAAATAAAGGATGAATCTTACATCATTGGAATTTGAATAAGAAAACCGAGGCAAAGCAAAATGGCAAGTCAAGTCTACATTGGAAGGTTTCAAGGCTACTTGATCAATTGTAGTTTTGAAAGCTTGAGCTTCTAATTCACAAGCAGACACCTGAAACCACACCCAGCACTGCCTGGGTGCACAGCATGTGTGAAGGGTACCTGCCAACGGGTGTGGGGTATCCCTGAACATGTACCCAAAGGCCATCCTTAGCTAGCTATCCCATTGCCTATTCCTTAAACTAATCTCTTGCAGTACTGTAGACCATTTTCTGTTTTGTAAGTTCAAATTCTCTTGGACCCAAATGCTGATTTGAAGTGATTCATAAGCATTGCACAGATATATGCTTGGCTGATTGTTGCTTGGCTGCTTTGTCATAGTACAGTGGAGCTTCAAGCTCCCTACACTGCAAGAAAGAGTCATACAACTGTTTGCAGTTGGCATATGATTTTAAAAAAGTGCCTTTGTAATATCACATGTCAACTTCAAACCACTGCATGGCTCTTTTTTGCAGTGAATTTGACATTCATTTTGGGGGAGTGGGAGTACTCAGGAATTATAGAAAGGGCCATGAGAAGAAAGGCTATAAGTAAAACTTTGGAGAAAAAATGGTTACCAGATGGTTTTAAACAGCTGTTGAGTGGGGAATTCACCAGCCTGCATTTTAGTCAAGCCCTAGAATTTAACATTTTGACTCCAACCTAGATAACTAACCTAGGTCAGCCTGTTTGCTTCCATTTTTCCCCCACTTATACTATTATTCTTTTTTTTTCTCAGCAGCCCCCTCCCAAAAAAAAAAAAAACAGATAAAAAAGAATCACAAAGCTTTTTTAAAAAAATCAACACTGCAAGAAAAAGTTGTGCAACTGTTTTGAGTTGACATGCAAAATGGCAAAGGTTCCTTTGTAATATTGCATGTCAACTCCGCACAGTTGCACAAATTCTTCTTGCAGTGTGAAATTTTCTTTATTTTATTTTGGGTCTTGATAAAAAACGTGGAAAAAAGTGTGTTTAGAAGCGGTTTTGCAGCAGTGCAGCGCACACGGTAAGGTCAATGGTGAGCCAGCTATGCTAAAAATAAACTAAGTTTTAGCATAGTGTTAGCGCAAATCCACATTTCTGCACTAACGCTACGTACAAAGGGCACAAGGGTGTGTTAGCTGTTAGCCCAGAAATTTGGAATTGCACTAATGCTGTGTGCTCAGGGCACAAAAAAGTGCCCTCTAAGCTGTGTTGCAGTGCTTATTAGTGTATTTTTGGACTTTTTTGCTGCTAAAATCACTGTAGCGGTGCACTGACACTACAAAACAAAATGATGCTGTCAGCGCCGCTACAAATTAGTGTAGCATACTGGTGGTAGAGGTGCGCTAACACTACACAGAAAAGTGCCGCTACACTAACACTAAGTGGCCATGTAGCGTAGCAGCCCACCGCTGGTACAGTTTCTGCAATTGGGCACATTTTTTTGATTAATTTTTTACTGCTTATTTTTGATTATTTTTTTTTTTGAAATTTTGAAAGACTATCACTTGAAACATAACTTCATATTAGAGATGTCGCTCGATACCCGGGTACCTGTAGCGGGTGCGGGTACCTGCCTCAAAAATCCAATATTTTTGACACCCGCACCCGCACCCGCACCTGCTAGGGCAGCCAGGGCGGGTACCCGGGTACCTGCGCCGGGTACCTGCAGGTACCTGGCACATTTTTGCAGGCAAATATACCCAGAAATCTCACCCTTGAATTTCTGCATGACTTGGTAAATATAAGATTGATATTCATCAGATATATGAGTAAGAATAAAATAAAAATAAAGAAATAAAGAAAAACAAATTATTCCATCACCAATTTGAATTTTATCTTCTCTCTGATCTATCTTTAGCTTTACCCTTTTGCTTGGCCTCATTTGCCTTATTCAATGTCCATTGATGAAGACTGTACACCGTCTTTATGACTGGAGGAATTCCTCCAGTCATCAAGACTGTACACCATCTCAAAGGCCGGAGGGAACCCTCCAGCCTCAACAAAGCAACCAGATTAGTTCAGCAACACATGTAAGACACCAGCTGGTGTCCTACATGGGTTGCTGACACCTTTGTGCAGCCCAACACACCCAAAAAAGGGAGTTTTGGACCACCAATGATAAATGAAATTCTTCAGGGGAAGCATTCCCAGGGCGGGTGTAAGGCGGGTACCCGGGTACCTGCCTTTTTTACCGCAAATGTTGACACCCGCACCCGCACCCGGTACCTGCTTTGGAAAACAGGTACCTGCAAACGGGTACCGGGTACCTGCTGACATCTCTACTTCATATCCCGCACTGGATGTGCAGTAAAATAAACCTGGATATGTAGCATTTTTATATTTTTTTTGTTCACCTCTTCACACCATTTTTTTTTAAAAAAAAACACTGAATATCCAGTTTTTTTTACTCCATATCCAGTACTGGATATGAGGTAGTGTTGAAAGTGTATACACCACACTTCAATTTTGTGATTGGAATTTGGAGTATTTCATGGTGTTCAAAACTGCATATGGAGTTTTAAGTAGGGGGTCGGAAAAACAACTCCCAAAAATTTGCCAACGACTTCCATTTTGGTCAAGGGGTTGTGGGCGGGAGTTGTTACTCCAAATCAATGGCCGACTTTGGGAGTTGGCCATCCAATTATTTTTTAATCGTCTGATTTTTAGGAAGTCGGTGCCCCAAACCACCCCTCATGCTTGAGGGGGTTATGGGAGATGAGAAAGAAAAACCTCATCGACCGGAAGGAATCCCTTCTGGCCAATGAGGTTTTTGTTTCTTGTCAACCAGAAGGAAATCCTTCTGGTCATAAGAGTGAGTGACTCCCAAACCCCCTCAAGCATGAGGGGTGGGTTTGGGGTGCCAACTCCCTCAAAATAAAAATAAAAAAAGGGACTTAGTTAAACGACTCCCAAAATTTGGAGTTCCGACTCCCAAATTTTGGGGACGTCCTGAGGACTGGCTGCGGACGGTCCTCTCGACGTCGGCCCCCCTAATTGTCTTTTTCCCCGACTTTTTGGGAGTCGGAGCACCAAAAGGTCTGACTCATTTGGGAGTCGGACCTATAACAAAAATAATAATAAAAAATATAAAAAAAGGAACCCCCCCGGGGGTTTTTGGGAGTCGATCCTTTAAGAGCCCCAGGGGGGGTTGGGAGTCGGTCCGAAATATCTCGGCGGCCGAGAGGAATCCCTCTCGGCCATCAAGAGCATACATGGCCGAGAGGGACTACTCTCGGCCGGCCAGCGAGAGCGGTACAGCTCTCAGTAGCCGGAGAGGTTTCCTCTTGGCCGCTGTGAGAGTCGTACACTCTCAGCAACCAAGAGCAATCCTCTTTGGCTGCTGATAGGGTATGTCAATGGCCGGGACGTTGAGAGTTGTACCATCTCAGCCACTGGTATTCCTCTTGGCCGTGTATGCCCTCACCGGCCGAGATGAATCCCTCTCGGTCACTGAGAGGGTACAACTCTCAATGGCCGGAGAGGATTATTCTCGGTTGCTGAGAGTGGACAACTCTCAGCGGCCGAGAGGAATCCCTCTCAGTCTCTGAGAGGGTGAGACTCATTGACCGAGAGGAATCCCTCTCGGTCTCTGAGAGGGTGAGACTCTCATTGACCGAGAGGAATCCCTCTCGGTCTCTGAGAGGGTGAGACTCTCATTGACCGAGAGGAATCCCTCTTGGTCTCTGAGAGGGACTCTCATTGACCGAGAGGAATCCCTCTCGGTCTCTGAGAGGGACTCTCATTGACCGAGAGGAATCCCTCTCGGTCTCTGAGAGGGACTCTCATTGACCGAGAGGAATCCCTCTCGGTCTCTGAGAGGGACTCTCATTGACCGAGAGGAATCCCTCTCGGTCTCTGAGAGGGACTCTCATTGACCGAGAGGAATCCTCTTCGGCTGCTGAGAGTGTACCATCTCAGTGGCCGAGAGGAATCCCTCTCGGTCTCTGAGAGGGACTCTCATTGACCGAGAGGAATCCTCTTCGGCTGCTGAGAGTGTACCATCTCAGTGGCCGAGAGGAATCCCTCTCGGTTGCTGAGAGGGTACAATTCTCAACGGCCGGAGAGGATTCCTCTGGGTCACTGAGAGTATACAACTCCCAGCGGCCCGGAGGAAACCTCTCCGGCTGCTGAGAGCTGTACCGCTCTCGATGGCCGGCCAACTCTCGGCCATGTATGCTCTTGACGGCCGAGAGGGATTCCTCTTGGCCGCCAAGATCTTTCCGGGACCGACTCCCAACCCCCTGGGGTTCTTAAAGGATCGACTCCCAAAAACCCCCGGGGGGGTTCCTTTTTTTATATTTTTTATTATTATTTTTGTTATAGGTCCGACTCCCAAATGAGTCAGACCTTTTGGTGCTCCAACTCCCAAAAAGTCAGGGAAAAAGACAATTAGGGGGGCCGACGTCGAGAGGACCGTCCGCAGCCGGTCCTCAGGACGTCCCCAAAATTTGGGAGTCGGAACTCCAAATTTTGGGAGTCGTTTAACTAAGTCCCTAAAAAAATAAAAGAAAATTGAAAAATTGAAAAATAATTGGATGGCCGACCCCCAAAGTCGGCCATCAATTTGGAGGAATGACTCCTGCCCAACAACCCCTTGCCCAAAATGGGAGTCGTAGGCAAATTTTTGGGAGTTGTTTTTCCGACCCCCTTTAAGCATACCAGTATAAAGCGAGATTTGGCAGGGACCTGTCAGCATACTCAAAACTCAAATTGATAGATCCCAGCCAAAATTTCAGTTTATACTGTTAAGTAAGACTTCACATATGCAGTTTTGAACAGCACATTTGCATATTCAAATATGCATAACAGCCATTACCTGCAATCTTTGAGGGTAGGTTGTAATTCTTCCAGTGTGATTTACACAGTGAAGGAGTTAGAATTGAGGGTACCTTTGGCTGAGGCACCCTAGGTTATTTCACATGCAGATTCTGAATCTGGAATAATAATTTATATTTTGTTTATCCTTTTGAAGGTATGTATCTATTTTATATATATTTTTTGTTTATTTACTTATAAAGTAATAATGCCTCTTTTACTTATCTAGTATTTTTATTTGATTATTTTTCTCATGAAAGTTTGTCTCTGAAATAGTATCAATCTGGCATCTGCCACCAGAATATTACCCAACCATGGCCAATGATGATTACCAATCCATCTGCTCTTGGCCAAAGACAAGATGGGAGAGCAGCCCCTCGTAATATCTTTCTTCTCTCTCTCTCCTCCTGTTACATTCATTGCCTTCCATATACCAAAAAAAAAAAAATACAGAGAAATGTAATCAAGAGTTTCTTTGTTGTTGTATGTGTATGTGTGTGTGTGTGTGTATACTGGGTGACAATCTGATACTTTAGATGATTGTGCAACTACATATATATACAGCAGTTCCCAGAAAGCTTGCGCTCTCGAGCTCCTGGGATCTGATTTTTTTTTATTTTCTTTCCACCTTTTTTTTCGCCTCGTGACCTGTACACATGACTGTACAGGTTGCGAATCTGTTACCGAGGTCTTGATTGGGGCCCGGCGACCTGGCAGTTGCCCGGTGGGGGCCGGGCATGCACCGATGTGATGGCGGCTTCCTGCTCAAAAAATTGAGAGGATTCCGATGGTCCAACTCCCGACTTCTCAACTCAAAAAATGAGGGAGTTGGGCCTCAATGCCTGGAAGACTGTCGCTGTACACGGCCAGATACAGGACGAAGAGGCACAAAAAAGTGAGGCGCAAAAAAAGAAAAATTTTGGGATCCCATGAGCTCGCGACCGCAAGCTTTATGGGAACTGCTGTATATGTGTGTGGCAACAGATGAAGAAAAAAACAATCAGAAACTCATTGGGGATCTCTATGACAACATCACACTCCCACAAAGGTTTTATAATCAAGAGAAAAGGAGGCGACAATGATTTCAAGAAGAAGAAGGAAAAAATTAAGGGGGAGGTCTGGAAATGACCAAGGTAAAAAAAAGGGAAACCATCTCAAATATCGATTCGACTATCCTTGATGATGACGACAGAAATCATGCTCATAATAACCGCACCATTGATCACTGGACTTCATCCATCAATTCTTGACAATTGTAAAATTCCTATCCTATTCCTTTGGACAGGTTTGTCAATATTGATCATCATCAATCTTGCCATGGGATTCAAAAAAAAAAATTAGGAAACCTTGTTGATTATGATGGGGGTTCTGATGTCCTTTCTTGCGTTTTGTCTACTACCCTGCCCCCCCCATCTTTCATTACTTGAAAAAACACACACACACACATATACATTTGATCAAAGAAAGACAACCCAGGGCCAAAATGATAAAAAAAACTCTTTTGTCTTTCTCATGATCAACCTATAGACCACCTTCTTATGATAATGTCTCTCATCGCTCAACCTTTTGAAGAACCAAACTCAATCTCTCAATCTCTCTCTCAATCAATAAAAAAAAACACACACACAATAGTCTAGTCTTGATAATCAAAAAAAAAAAAAAAAAAAAAAAAAAAAAAAAAAACTTGAAAAGTATGTTAAATATGTACACCAAAGCTGTTTTTCTGATGTCAACCCCCAACAACCTTGACATTCCACACAGTACAGTAGGAGAGGAGAAGTCCCTCTTCAAATGAAGTACAGAGACAGCACTGCCTGGTATTGCTTCATTATCTATCTCTCAAATTCCGCACGCCAGACTTGCATCATCATCAAGGTTGATTGATTGATTGATTCATTCACTAATCTTGACTGCTTCATTCATTCAAACCACACATACATATTTCATTCTCTAACATCATATAACGGCTGATGAAAAGGAGCTAGCTACCTAAAAAAAACCCCAGAAAAAACAAGGTTTGACAGTTTTTTTTTCTTCTTTTAGATCTGTTATAAAGAAAAACATCAGGATAAGATTGTGATTACTACAGTACTATATAAATATACAAACCAAAACAACAACAACAACAACAACAAGTAAAGTAAAGAAAAAGCAGGGAAGAAGAGTAAGTTGAGTAAGTGATGAGATGAGTATTGAGCGAAATAAGAAAAGTAATTTAAAGAGTAATAATTTGTAAAGAAAGGATAGTGTCAGATATGTAATTAATGAAGAAAAGAGAGAAGAAGGAAAAAAGAAAGAGGAAATGAAAACTACAACAAAACAAAACAAATAAAAAAGAAAAAAGCTGAATGAAAGAGCAGAGATGAAGAGCAGAGATGAAGAAAGAAGATAGAGGAGGATAATACAAAAAAAAAAGAAGGAGCCGTGATTGATTGATTTGAAGCGAGAAAGTTCGAGAAGAAGAAGACTACATAAGATATATAAAGAAGTGACTGACTATCTAAGTATAGATAGGATGGGTTGTTGGATAGATAGATCGTGAGATTGATTGATTGATTGACTGTTTGATTGACTAAGAAGAGATAAAGAAGCCCGAGGCCGACGACGAAAAAGAAAAAGAGGAGGGGGTGAGGGGGGAGGGGGATGCAAAAAACCAAAGAGAGAGAAAAAAAAAGACAAAAAAAAAGAAACAAAAAAAAGCGATAAGAAGAAATCAAATGGAATCGTCAGTCAAAGAGGGAGACTGAGGCGTGACGATGCCGGAGTTAAGGAACGCCGAGAACCCGGCGGCTGAAGAAGGGTCAGCAGAGGCAGCAGAACTGGTAGGAGTAGTATTGCTAGAAGAAGAAGAAGAAGTATCGGTGGTGGGGGTGGGAGCATCAGAAGAGGACGGTTCTTGAGGGGGCGAAGGGGGGAGCAAAGGGATCTGAACGATGGGCTGATGAACGGCTGGAGCACTAGAATGCCAACGCTTACTAAGCCCGGGTTTATTGCTGGCTGTGGAGTGGTAGGTGAGCGACTCAGGAGGCTGGTAATGAAGAGGATGGACCGGCGGACGGTGATCGGAGAGATCGAACGAGTTTAAGAACCCACCAGCCGAAGCAGCAGACGGAGAAGGCCGATGATGAGGGTTGGTCGAGTTGATCCCGATCCATTCGACCGGGACGTTAGAGATCGGCAGCGGGATCGCTGGGGTGAACCGATGAGTATTCCCAACACCAATCTTTCCATTTGCCATCCCATTAGACGGGGTCGAAGATTGAAGATGTTTGACGGCGGCGGCCTGTTTGAGCGAGAGTCCAAAATCGTAGCGAGCCGAGAGTGCCGAGCCGGCCCTGAAATGCCCAAGATTCCCAGTAGCATTGCCCATGAAGTCTGCTTTAGAGTCTCCAGCTGCACCAAAGGAAGAAAACGAGCTCGAGTGGGTCTTCTTCTTCTTGATCACCCCGTCCGGAAGCCCGCCAATTCCAGAGGAAGAGGAAAGCCCCAGATCGTCGCCGACTAGCCGGTCCAATTCGGCCCTCAAGGTGGTCGCCCACGGACCTGAAGGGTCAGACGAATCACCCCGAGTCTTCCTGTTCTGCGGTTGTCCATTGGTCGTCGTTGTGGTTGGTGTTGTGCCGTTACTGGTCGATAAGCCCATTTGTTGTTGTTGTTGTTGTTGATTGTTGGAAGAAGCTTGATGAGGATTGTTTCCTCCATGACGAAGCATCTTGAACTTGACATGATAATTCGCATTTGAATTATTATCCCAAAACTCGCCCCCATTGGCCAAGTAACGGACGGCGATCTCCATTTCGCGTTGGTGGATCCTAGCCAGAACGTCTTGCAATTTGATGGTGAAGCCGAACAAATCAGCCGCCGGACTGGGTCCCCCTTTTATCGAAGAAGAGGTGGTGGTGGTGGATTTAGGAGGGGAAGGGACAGGAGGACAGCTGCTGAGATAATCCGCAGTGACTTCTGAGACCGTTTGCCAACTATCAAACGTAAATCGGACGGCGACCCGTTTCTCGAAGCTGAGGTTCTCGACGAGGACGGTACCTTTGAGGTTCTTGCCATCGGTAGCGAGCTCGAGGGACTTGAGACAAACCTTATTGAGCAGAGTGAGTCTAGGATGGAGAGGCATATTGGGCAGTTCGATCACCAGTTTGGAGCGATCAGAATGACGATGATCATCAGAGTTGAGCAGGTCAGGGAACGGGTATTCTTCTTCTCCTTCGGTCTCCGTTTCGATGGGCGATCCGTCTCGACTGACCGCAATCGGTCTCTGCTGGGATAAGAAGTGTCGAACATGTTCGAGATGGGCATCGAAATGGACGGCCTTGGGGCCTTGGGTGGGAGTAGATGGGGCGCTCCGACTGTTGGAGTATGAACTAGATCTGGAGGATGAACAGATTGAGGAGGAGGAAGAAGAGGCAAAGCCCTGGTTGGATGAGAGCTTGAGTGAGGATCTAACGACCTCTCCGGATTTCTTTCGTAACATGGGTATGTTATCGAGAGAGGTTAAGGAGGAGGAGGAGGGAAACCTGAGGGGTAGTTCGAGCCTCATGACGCTCTCAGATTGAGCCTTCTGATGGACCGGTCGAATAGGTTTAGGGGACTGCTGCTGCTGCTGCTGCTGCTGATGAATGCGCGTGGGTGAGGGGAGATTGTGGTCAAAGTAGTCTGATCTATCGGCTGTTGTTGATGGTGGAGTGGGGGAGTTGAAGTTGACGATCGGGAATGAGTAGGAGGATGAGTAGCTCTTCTGATGGATGAAGTGGGTGGGAGTGGTTGAGGTGGGAGTGGATGAGGTGGCGGCTGATGAAGGGGTTGATGACTGTGAGTTTGAGGGTGGAGGGGTTTCGAGTGAGAACATTTTGTTGTTGTTGTTGTTGTTGTTGTGATGGGTGGCAGTGGCAGTGGTGTTGATGGTCAGAGACATTGTGTGATTTGAACTGGGGCGGTTGTTGGAGTGATGATCTGCTGGGGGTTGTTGGTGGCAGTTGTTAGTGTTGATGGTGAGTGAGTGGTGGTTCTTGGGGGTGGTCTGAGTACCGCCGGTTGAGGATGGTGGGAGTTGATGGATGGATTGGGTGAGTTGTGGGATTGAATCTGAGTTGATGGGGTTGTTGTTGTTGGAGGGGAAAAGCGGTGGAGAGGATGATGTTAGTTAGCAGCGTTATAGTAGTGAGGGTGAGTAGGAGGGGATCAGCTGGGTACTATGTACTGACCAGATGATGCTGATGATGAAGGAGGGGAGAGCAAGGCGGTTTGTGATTCGCTGTAGGAGATCTGCATCCTGCTAGTCATAAATATTTAAGTAGTTAGTAACTCGACGAGAGTGGACAATCGAGATGAAGGATGAGGGGGAAGTAAATTTGTTGGGGTTGGTTATGAAGAAGGAAGAGGAGGATACATACAGTTCGGACTGGGACTGATGAGCTTTAATTTTGGTTTAGTAGTCTTTCCTACTGAACCTGAGCTCGTTAGGAATCCAACTTGACTTTCAAGTTTCAACTGAGAGAAAGAAAAAAAGAAAACAAGGAACAGATATGAATGAATGAACACAGTAGACTTCAGCAGGTCAACAGATGACTGGAGTCTGGGAAGTGGGGGGAGCTGAGAAATTAAAAGAATCCTCCGAAGAACACTGCAGGGACTGAGAAGGAAGACCAGAGGACTGAGTGTACATACACAATGACGTCATCCATCTCAAAGTTTTAAACTGCGGAGTCAATCCAGCCGATGAGTCTATTACCAGATTACCACCACCGAAGAATCTTCCGATCCGAGACTCGATCCGCCGGCGCGATGCATACATACATACAGTCGATGGGCACAATGATGTCGATCTATCTTATCTGCGACACCGTAGAATCACCTCTCTCTCATCCATTGTTGTTGTTGTTTTTTTCTTCTTCTTCTTCTTCCTTCAAACTATTGATGTGAATATATGTATAAACTTCCCCTCATCGAACGTGCTCCAAAACTGTGTATATCATCGACATCATACATACACCTCACCTTCAAGACTCAAGACTCAAACAAACAAAAACAATTGTAACCTTACATATCAACCATTTCAAATTGATAAATATGTACCTTGTAAATATCTACGCTACATAACCCTTCAAGAATGGAGGACTTCCCGTCGACCAGATGGCTTAATTTAGACGGACCGGCTAAACTTTGTTTGCTGGTGAAATTTTGAGGTCGAACGATTTTCACCAGCCAACAAGGTTTAGCCAGTCCTTGTAAATTTACAAATTTAGACGACGGGAAGTCCTCCAATTGTCCTGTCCCAAAAACAAATATGTATCCTCTCTCCACACATGACACATACGAGATGAGAAGACGACATCCAACCAATCCAGAAGAAACCCGACAATCATTTCCGATAATATGTAGCACGTTTCCATATGTAAAAAATATGTATTATCTTACCATCTCTTCATTCACATCCAAACATATTTACACTGCTCACAAACAATTCCTCGATGATCACAAGACCAAACCTCATCATCTGACTCATCAACTCACACGTAAATCGTCTTGTTTGAGGGTACTTCAACTCATCTAGATATCTGTTCTGATAATCCACTTACAGAAACACACTCAAATTATCTCCCCCCGCCATCTTCTAGATCTTATATATCGATGAGTCAAACAACGAAGACTTCTTGTCTATGATAATCACACGCAAATCCCCGGATTTGCCCACATAAGACACTCGTTTTTTTTTAAAAAAAATAAAATCACAATACCACTAAGCATTTTCTTGTTGTTGTTCTTGTTAAGATTACAGGGCATCGAAGCTACAAAGAACAGACAACGAGAAAAACAAACAAATGAAGTCAATAGAAGAGCCGAGAGAAAGGAGGCAAGCAGGACGAACTTGATGGTATGAGCTTTCCGTCTCCGTTCACGTTCGTCTTCGCGCTAAAAGTAAGAGAAGGGGGAGGGGGGGGGATCAAAACGAGAGCAGAAGAAGTAAGAACCGACATGAAAGTAAGAGAGAAGGAAGGAAGGAAGGAAGCGAGAACCTTTTCATTAACATGAAGGACGACGACGATGACAGCGAGGACGAGAGTAGCGATGGCCAGGGAGATGGAGACCCAAGGAATCCAATCGGCGGGATGAAGATAGAGCTCCTTCTTCCACGAGCCCACCGACCTCACCCCGCTGGGTTGGTAGGGGATCACCACCAGTTGCGAGTTGGGCAACAGGCCTTCGATGTTGATGTAATGCTCGCCTTGGTGTCGCGTGCTGCCGATGTACATGTTCTCCACATAGTTGTTCGTTCGTCCTAGCCCAAAAAAACTGTACGGCGTCGTCGGGGAGGCGTATATATTAAACGGAACTTGACCCACTTGTTTTTTTTTTTTTCGTTTTCAAATACACGCATAAAGTTGAGCTTCATCTTTGGACGTTCTATGAGGTTTGCTCTTATATTAATCTCTTACCTGCTGTAGCTCGTCGTTCTCCAAACGTATCTTGAATCGTAAACTTATAAGTTGCACCAGCATAATTAACGCCATACGGCTTTCAATTCAATTCAATAAAATAAAAATAAAGGATCAGTCACCAAACAAAAGAGAAAATGAGCGGTCAGAAAAGAGAGACTGACTCGATAATCAGCATGTCCATCTTTCCCAGAACATCTAGAAGAGCAAGCGCCATTGAGCATGATAGCTTTAAGAAAGAACGCGTCATTGAAAAAGTTATTTTTGAAGACGGAGACCGATCTAGCGGCGGGATGGGAGGGAGAAGCGGATGGAGCATGTCTTTGGACGACGACATCCAAGCTGCCATCCTCATTGATGTCGAGGAAGAAGGCGGATTTAGCGTCCTGGATGGTATTCAAAGCGGCAGCGCCATTCGAAAGAGGCCTGAACGTTCGTCGATGCTTGGCCGTCTCGGGACCGCTACAAACATCCAACGTGCATCCGAAGCTCTCTAGTAACCATGGCACTCCGCGGATCCCTCCCGAGGAAGAGCCGCCCATCGGCGCCACTATCAAAAGCAGGTCCGGGTAGCCATCCAGGTTGTAGTCTCCCGTTTGGACCCCCACCGGGCTCGGGCCTTGGAAATCCGACCCCGTTAACTCGGTCACCAATCTGAAGGCCGGGAAAAGCTTGGCAATGTCCATCGTTGTAAAGCCCTATCGACCCACACAGAAAACAAAAAAAAAAACTCACATTCATCAGTCTCCCTCTTTCTCTGAAAACTCAAAAAAAAATTGACCGAGGGCTCACTGAGTCGGCACTGTCAAACGAGAACCGGAAGTCGGGGTCGGCTGTGCACAGATTCTGAGGATCACGACACTTGGGTTGGGCGGAGTGACTGGAGGTACAGAGCGGGATCTGTTGGTTATAGGCCACATGAACCTTGCAAGTGTCAGGAGAGGGACAGACGGAAAGGACCATGTCGATCGTCCCGTCCCGATCTGTCCAAACACACACACAAATACAAATGCACCGGAACATATAAGTATCAACACGATTCATATCAATCTCTTTCGTCGATAGCACCCACCCATATCCGCAAACGTCACTTGCTTCGTTCCCCATGGTAAATTACCTCGTCGGGCTAACGAAAACCCGGCGGCTTTGTTGTTCAGCCAGATCTGGTAACTCTGGTCACCCGCTCCATCCTCACAAACCAAGAAGATATCTACCTCACCAAAAAAAACCCAAGTCAGTTTACACATTTAGATGGGCTAAGGATCCGTGGGGGCGCGGGTATTCACCGGCAAGACAATCCCCATCTAGGTCGATAAATGTGCTACTGTGAGGATTTGGAAGTTTGCAATTGATGGGAGAGTTGAACGGAGGATCTGCGCTAAAAGGATCAATAAACCGGCCAAAAAAGAAAACAAAAAAGGCATAGTTAATGAAAGGATATCATAAAAGAAGAGGAGAGGAGGGGAGAGGAGGGTACGGACGGACATGGAGAAGGGAGTGGAGCTGTTGGAATGACTGGATCCGGAGGCCATGTTCTTCCAGACTTTGAAGACCGACGGCAGACTGGATGGGAGGCCTAACAAATCCATCGTCATCGTTCCTTGCGAATCAAGCACCAATGGATGGGCTGCTAGCGACGAGGCAATCGGGATCCCTGGGCCTACATCAAGATCCGCCATACTCTTAGCTTTCAATTGTCTGTTTGCACACTATTTCTTTGTTATAATGATCAAATCTTCACCCACCAAAGCTCGTCCCATCTCGGCCATACCATACCTCCATCTTCAACGTCCCTTCAAGATCGCTCGGATCGGAGTTTCCCATAACTAAGATATCCAATCTCTGTTGCCAATTAACAATCTCAGTTCATCAAATTCCCGCCTAAAACAATATATGTGAAAGTCATCAACTGACTCCATCATAATTTATGTCCGTCGCAATGATGTTCGTGATCACAAATCCTCCGACGGTTTTTGGGATTACTGGGTTTTCCGGGACCGAGACGAATTGATAGAGTTCTGAGAAGAATAGAAATTGGTGAATGAGTAGAGATCCAGATAAAAAAAGGGGGAGGGTGACGGACGATGGTTCCATAGATGTAAGTTAACCGAACGTTGGTCACTACTGAGAGTGAAGATATCCCGACTAGAAGAGGAAGAAGAAGGAGAAGAACGTCAACGAAAGGAATAAACAGGGAGACAGTCCAAAGAAAGAGAGCATTACAATTGATCGGCGTTCGAGTCACCGATAGCGATGATGATTCCATCGAGATTATTGAGTCCCAAGTCGGCCAACTCGAACAATCCTTGAGCCTTGAACTTCTGCTCCTTCGATCCGAGGACGAGCCATGTTTGGGCTTGGATGATGGTCAGGATGATGAGGAGTGTGTGAAGACTGGTTGTCGGTCTCTTGGTCCTTGGTCTGTTGGTGCTTCGGTTGTTCATCTATTCTTTCTCTTTCATCCTCTTTCTTTGCTTTCTGTGTTCTTATTGTTATGTATGTATTTTGATGTTTGAAGGTTCTTCTGGGTTGGTTTTGGCGGTGGTTGGCTGTGGTTGTGCTGTTCTTTTTTTTCCTGTTCAGTCGATCGAGGAGCTTGACTCAAACACTGACCCCGGGGGCCTCGGGAGTCGGAACTGAACACCCAGGTTCCGGGGGGAAGCCGGGGATTAATCAGCACGTCAGAATAAAATCAAACAAGAAAGCTCCATCTGCGTAGTTGAAGAGATGTGGTGGTAAGGGTCAACCAATGAAGCTTGACTCGAGGAGCTACTGAGTATCAAGGCACTCTGACTTGAATGTTACTCGCAGAATCCTGAAGCCTGACTCACTCACAATCACATCATGCTTTAATCATGGCAATGGACTGGCCACTGGCTTCAGGCTCAGCTCCAAATGATTTTGGAAGAGGACTCCCTACTAGGCATTATGTTTTTCGTTGCAAGAACGACACATCAGCCCATTTTTCTTTGATTTTTTTGACTGATTCTTAGTAATTTTGTACTCAAACCTAGGAAATGCATGTTCATGGGGTGTTTTTTCAAAGGATGATTTCCTGTCGATAATGAGATTCATGAATTTCAAAAGAAGGTGACTTGGCGCGCTCACATGTGGAGTGCCCATTGACGCGCCCTTTTGCAAAACTGGCGCCGACGACAACTAACTGAGAGGCGTTGTGAAGCTTGGGGTATTCATGAATCATCATTGATCCAACTTGATTCCGAGTAATTTTGGTCCAAGTCAGCACAGTAGGAATCATGCTGAAGAATGCCCACACATTATGTAAACGTTCACAGTTGTATGAAGTTTGGACTCTGCCGAAGTTTTCTTGTGTTTCTGACCGGGTCCCCTCATCTTACCTCAACAGACCTCAAGAGACCTCAAGTCTGGAACTTGTGTGTAGGGTTGAAACCAGAAGTGTTTCAACCATCATGGGCGTCCCTCAATTCACTACCACAAGTTTGATCAACAACGTTCTCGGATCACATGCGTAGCGACATTGATGATTGGGCAGATACATCAACCGGCTCGCGATTCCCTTGGCGTTTGTTCCCCCTCCCCTCCATCCCACCACATACGCGTGTGCAGTCCGGATAACCCAGATCAGACCCTCTCTAGACTCTCAGCTCGAAAAATGAGCCCCCTCAACGTGCTTCCGAATCGTCGGCTCCTTTGGTCTATCTTCTGCTGCTTCACCATCGCTGCGATTGCTTTAGCAATGGATCCGTCCGAGATGAGGGAGTTTTCGCAAGAAAGCGCGTGGAGCTCTAGTAGCTTAAGAGAGGCAGATGATAATCCGATACCTGATCTCAACCGTGACGCGCTAGGGCAATTGCCTGTACCTCAATCTCATCAACAGGATCCACTTCTCAGCCGTAGTTCTTTGTCACGTCCTCGCCGCCAACCACCCTTCGCTGGTGGGTCCATCTTTCCTGGCTTCCCATAGCTTCCCATGTTAGATACACCCCCCCCCGGGTTTTTTTTGCGTCTTGTTCATGAATCTTATCACCGTAGCGTCACTTGAGAGAAAATACGAGCAAGATCTATTGGAGCGTAGAAAGCGTAGAGAGGAATTCTTTTCTCGCTCTGGAATATCCTACAGTAATTCTCGGCAAGAACGCAGGGCTCGTGGGTGTCTTTGCGCTTTTTCCTCATACTATTGAGTATACGTATAACCGCATTTATTTAGTAACAACACACGATCAACCCAGGCTTATTGCAGAGAAAAAAGGAGTTCATGGAACGCGGAAAGCGTAGAAAGGGTTTTTTTAGCTCCAGTATACCTACCAGCAGTCATGTTGACAGAGATCCGGCTACTAGTTAGTGGGTTTCGACTTCCTCTTCGCATATTCTTACAGTTTCTATAATAATTCATGAAATGTGATGAACCTATAGGTACAAACCCCGAGATGAGGGAATTCAGCCCGGCCGATGAGGATATATTCCTCAAGGATGCTACTCAGGATTGTAAGTCCGACTTGAGTCGACCGGTTCAACCGTTCAACCAGCTCAATCACCCTTAAAACCTGCTTCACTTCTTCCCTCCCTCTCTCCAATTAAATGAAAGACATTCGTCGGTATGTCGTTGCAAAAGCCAATCGCAAATTCGCTCGCGTGTTCGACATCAAAGAACCATTAGTTATTGATACCGATCAAAAGATTCCACACAAAACTTTACCATTCGCACTGGCCATCTATGCTGATGGCAAAGATGGTAGGCCTTCACGGGTACTACGAGCCGACACCAACTCCAAACTAAACAAAGAAGAATGGAAGTTGCTCTACAGCCCATTGGCAACCGCGTTATCCAGCAAATATCATGAAGATCTCAAATCGTTGTCGACAACCGATTACAAAGTGGAGCAAACCAAATTAATTAATTGGTTGGATAAAGAGATCTTTACGCCTGATAATGGGCTTCCAATCACAGGACTCTCTCGAAACTCATTTGGAACAGAATCAATCGACGAGGTCGTACTGGGTGCTAATCAGCTACGCTTGATAGAGTATTTTGCCTGGGGAATGAGGAATAGAAATAACCCGGAACACACCGAATCGGCAGCAACGAAACTACTGGAATCTTACAAAGATGACGTCAAAAAGGGTAATTAGCAGATTCAATCTTCAAGCCAAGCTATATCAAACCGCAACCTGATTCAAACCACTTTTTCTCCGTCTGCTGATACCATAGCAGCAGAGGAAACCAAGCAGGCGAGCTCGGCGGAGCACTCTGAAGCCATGAAGTCACATCGCGACCCCGATGCAGAAAGATATGGGTTTTATCATCCATGGGGTAAACTCTTTGTGGAAAAGGAGATAAACCTATCCGATGAGGAGAGGGAAGACAGCAAAATGGAGTGAGCGCCAGTAGAGCTGGCTAAAGAAATCTCAAGGAATATTCAATCAAAGAATGAAGAATAAAATCAGCTTGTGCAACCTCATCTGGTAAGGGGTCACAGAATTCCGACAGAATCAAGTTGGATTGTGGAAGGAATTTAGCTTGTTGACTTGATAAAACAAGAGTGTATTTCGCTACCATGGCCCAATTGTCTTGTGAATGTATCTTGCGTTTTTGGATTTTAATCTGTTCAACTTCCAGCATACCCATAATAATTTTTAATGTCAAGTCCAATTTCTCTGTAAGCATGAGCCAAAGGTTTATCAACCTAGTTCTACTAGGCCTTCCTAAAGCCAAGAGGGAAACCCTGATGAAATTGAACTGAGCATGAGTCCCCCCGGGCCCCATTTCTTGTTGTCTGAGACCTCTTCTAATCTTCAGGCCACCTCTCTCCATGTATAAGATTCTGATCTAGTTGTTATAATCATGCTGATATGCAAACCCACTGGAAATCACTAGATGATGGTAAAGACAAAAATTTCAATTTCTGGTTTCAATCAAAGCACACATAATTATGATGATATCTTCCTTCATTTGTGGTCATCACAATTCACAAGGCCATTTATGCAAGCCAAACCGATGTCATGGCTATGTGGAAGCCCTAAATTGGAAGATGGACTGATATGCACTCAAATAAAATCTGGGTTAACAGTTGTTTTTTCAGCCATAGAGCAAACACAGCTGAGCAAAAGCCTGGATAAATCAACTTTTATACGGGGATGTAGAAAACTACAAGTCATTTTTTGCAGGGCTTAGGCCCCGCAAATCCAAAGACTTGTAAAATTCACGGATGCAGAGCAGAACAGTAATTTTACAACATATTCCTGACAATGCATCCCTTGCAATAGGAAGCCTTGCAATAAATGAGTGGCAATTTTGCCCCCCCCCTGCCTCCGCGCCCAAAAATTGCACGCATTATTCCACTCTGCTTATGACATGTAAAAACAAAGCTGTGCAGAATTATTGCACAAAAGCCAATGGGGCAAATTTGCAAGGCTTCTGCCTCACAAGGCCAAGCCGCGCAAAAATAAGCAGTGCATTTTTGCATTAGGACAACAAAAACAAAAGAAAAGTGCAAAGCATTTCCTGCCCTTTACAAACAACGGTGGGCCGCTACACTAACCGTAGCGGTTAGTGTAGCGTAACGCAGCGGAATCGCTGTTAGTGATTAGCGTAGCGTAGCGGAATTCCGCCACGACACCGCGAACGCTACGCGTGTGGGCCACAAAAAAGGGCCCACTACGCTGCGCTACAGCCGTTTTTAGCGGTTTTTGGCCGCTTTTTCCGCTAAAAGCGCTGTAGTGCAGCGTAGCGTAGCGAAAAACCGCTAAAAAACCGCTAACACTGAGGTTTTTGGATGAAAAAAAAAACGCCGCTACACTACGCTTTTTGGGCCAAAAGTGTAGCGGCCCACCGCTGTTACAAGGCATCACCCCAATCTCAAAGGAGGGCTACTTCTTGCCCATAGCAGCCATTTGCTTGCTTTCCTGACCACCGTCTTGCAGAAATGCCGTCTTAAGATTCCCCTTGCGCAGTGTAATCTTAAGCTTGGGCATCTCTCCCAACTTAGGTGGCGGTTTCAATGTTGCTTCCGACTTGGAGACCGTCACTGAGCAATCCATCTCATCGCGCTCAGACTCCTTGTTGTCTAAGCCAAAGGAACCGTTAGTTCACCAAACCCCAGCAATCAAACAAGCAAAAAATCACTTACTGGACTCTGAGAGGGCTTCATCGGCCAAGAAGTCTTCCACCATCTCCATGTCATTCATTGTCGAGTCCATTGGAATCTCTGCATTCAATGAAGGCCGCAGGCTTAGTTCTTCAGGTGTCTTAAGCAATGCAGACATCTTTGCAAAAGGGACCTGGCCAGTTGCTTGTGGATGGTCCTCCATGATTTGAGTGATCTTTTCCTCAACAAAAACTTTCTTTTCAGCGGTCCAGGCGCGAGAATACATCAGCCAGCTTGTGTGGGCCTCAGTCCCCCCAATATCACGAGGATTTTCACTCAAAAGCCGGGCGTATCCATCGTTAATCATGTTGTTATGCAACCATACACCATCCTTATTCCGGGTGTTCCTCACAACTTTACACCAAAAGTGTGCACTGTTCCAGTAGCCACGTGCAAATAACAGGTAGTGTTGGTTGTGAATAGAAATGGCAAACGGCCAATCTACAGCTGCCATGAACACTTGTTGCTTGGCAAGCAACATGATCGAGGTGACTTCAAGATGAAAGTAGAGATGGGGAAGAGCCTTGTTGTCAACAGAAACAATCTTTGACTTTGACTTCAATGGGAAAGAGCAGGGATTTTTGGATTGAGATTTTGGGTCGGCCACTTCAATGGTTGAATTTGCTTGAATAAATTTTCCCGGTGCGGTGGAGATTCCTGCACCGGCGCACAACTTACATTGCAGGCCAGACCACCCTTGCAGGCCCTCTCCAGCCCAAAGCTTCAAGAGGGAAGGCACATCGGTGTAGGAGACGTGATTATCATCAAAAGTATTCTTACTGACCATGATAATGTAGAGCGTTTGACGAGTATCTTCGGTCGCTTCACAGTGATGTTTGCAGGTAAGCCGTCGGACCTCTTCATATTCAAACAACCCTTTCAAAGATCAGTTCTTGTTTGCCTTGGGATCCAAAAGGATCTCAATGAAAAAATCTGCTGAGGCATACTTGCCGGGTATAAAGCTATCAGGGAAATTTTTGTTGGCCACCTGAAACATAGACCTTTGATTGGCTGCAAGCATTTTACAAATTGACCCGGTTTCTGTGAATTTGTAGGTCACTCTAGATGTGAAATGCTTTACAAGCATGGTAAACATCAAAGTTCCTTTCCCGCTGGAACCACGTAGCCAAAGTGGACTGAACAGTGCGTAGAGACTTTCCAATGAGGCTGCCATCCAGCAACGATTGCGCAAAAGTTCTTTGTCCGAGGCGTGGTACGAGGGGTATGTTGAGTAGATGTTGCAATCAATGTTGGTTGCACCGGGTGGTCGGCCTGCCTTTTTCTTTTGAGGAGCAGTGTCCAAGAGGGTCTCGGTGGTGTCTGGTGCCCGCCCATGGTTGTTCGGTTCATGTTGGATCTTCTGTGCACGGGATTCTGTGGTGGCCTTTGGGGCTCGTTTGCGAGCCTTTTCCCATCCCATGGATTGAGCTACATCAATCTCTCCTTTTCGTTGAGAACCGTACTCTATCGAGACCCCCCTCATGACTGCTTCAAAATCTTCTTCCAGACATTTCACAAACGAGAACAGTTGGATCATTCCAACCAGTAAAGAGGTTTTCCCGCCACTGACATAATGCCAAGAAGCCAAAGTCAGTACCTGTCTAATCAACTGAAGGCGAAAAGAATCAGCTCACCTGAACATGTAGTACACTCGATGCAAGCTCTCCTGAGCATTGCTTGTTTCCGGTAGCGGGTCCAATCTAGAGATGGTCGCGGATAATCCACCGCGGATATCCGCTATCCGCTGGCGGATACCCGCCAGTGCCAGCGGGTGCGGATTTGGGTGTGGATGCACCCTTCCCCCTGAAATACTGGCGGGTATCCGGGTATCCCAAGGGATACCCGGTGCCAAGAGGCCACACCGCCGGGAGGAATCCCTCCCAGCAAGCTGGTTTTTAAACCAGCTCGTCGGTGTAAGACTCAAAAAGTGATTGTAAGATCCTTTTTGCTGAATGGAGAAAGGGATGAAATGAGCTGCAAACTCTGCCTTTCTATATTATCAGAAAACAAGACCATCAAGGTAAGCTTGGCAGTTTGGTTGGTGATAATGGATTATGTTCAAAGATGTCAGGCTAAGTGATGCCAAGAGCCAAACTCTTCTAGCTACACTAGCTGCAAAAAGTGAAATGGGATGTGTACACGTGTAGGTGACACGTGAAAAGTGGGGGAAGTGTGTGTAAAATAAAAGAAAATAGTAAATAAAAACTGTTAAGTTTTTATTTACAGAGGGGCCTGAGTTGCAGGGGTTTTTTACTGTGCCCTCTAATTCAGGTCCTGAGTTGCAGGGGTGGTACTGAAGTTCTGGTCCTTTGTAATAAAGGAGTAAACCCAGAAAAAAGTCTACTACTGAAGAAAACAAAGAGATAATACTTACTGGTACTTATCTCTAAGCCAAGGAGGTCTTCAGGAGAGGGGGACTGTTCTTGAAGCGCTCAGAAAGGTGAGTGAGAGGTGTTGGGAGAGTGCTGGGGAACAGGTGTTGGGTTGTTGAGTGAAATTCAGGTTGATAACAGCAGGAACTGGGCCAAAAGGCAGGTTGAAAACTGGTTGTTGGTGACGGTTTATGCTGGTATGTACTGATGAAGATGGGGAAAGCAAGTTGAGGGGGAAGAAGGGGCTCTTAAATACCCATTCTGGGCCTCTGGAGGCGAACTCAGGAGTCTCTCTAGTTGCTACAATTCTCCTACTAAGCCTATGGGAGCTTTTGATCATCTGTAGCACCTGTAGAGCTTGGTTACAGGTGTCAAGGAGATGATGTAATGCTTGTAACTATGTTTACAGGGTGTTCTGACGAAACTGTAACACTCCTGCAGCCTATGTAAGCACTGCATGATGCATGGGTTGATCCTCAAGAGAGTAATTGTCCCAATTGGGCCAAAAAGGGCCACAGATCATCCCAAACAATTTAATACTGTAGTCTGTGCTCATGTAATTAAGGTTTCAATGATGTAAACCTTGTTTGTAGATTTTTCCCGAACTGCATGAACCTTGTTTACACCTGTAGCCCCCTGGCAACCTGTGTTAACATATGAGTAACATCTGTGTGACATCCCTCTATGACTCCAAGTGGCCAACTTCGATATGACATCACTTCTCTTGAAATCCGCTCTCAGACACTTGGTCAGATACTCTCATTCCTCTGCAAGAACTCCGCTCAATCCCTCGTCATTACGATTCTCGAACATATAAAGAAGACTCCTTTTTCTCGATTCCGGTTTTCTCTTCGGAGGAACATCATCGACTTATTTTTCATCCATCGATCTTCTTCAGCAACATTATCTTAAATCTCATCTGCTGAACTGTTCTTCCCAAACTCGTCACTATTCTTCTGACGACCATCTCATATAGCGCTTTGTTCGCTCATCTCTTTTCCACTTCCTTTCGGCTGCTCGCCGACCTGTTCGTTTCCACTTCCTTTCGACTACTCGCCGACCTGTTCGTTTTCACTTCCTTTCAACAGCTTTCCGACCTCTCTGCTGGATCGCAAGACCTTCGTCGTCTAGTATGTTCTCACTCAACAGCCCTTCTCTCATCTCAACGGCAGCTGACTGATCACTCTTATATTAGTCCTTCTCTTTCCATTATCCTCCTGTTTTCTGCTATCTCGTGTCATTGTCCTGTCACCGCGTTGTTTCTGCCTTTAGGTATTTTTTGTTTCTTTTATTTCTTCTTTGTCACATTGTTATATATATGTTACTCATAAGAAATAAAACCTTTAGTTTGTTCATCAACAACCTGTAGAATGATGTAACTGGAGGGGTCTACAGTATATTTTGGTCCAATACCACTCAAGGACTACAAAGTAAGTGAAGGAGTAATAATTCAGGGGTACACTTGCTGAGCTACCCTAGGTTATTTTGCATGTATATTCAGAATCTGCAATAATATTCTAAGTTATACTTAAGGTTCAAAAGTTATTAGGAGATTCTGGTTAAAAAATGTTATTTTCCATTATTTATTTAATTATTTAAAATATTGCAATATAAAATGTACTGTGTAATAATGTCTCTATTATAGTGCTTCCACTTATTTAAATAGTATATTTTATTATTTTAAATGTATGTACATATATAAGTAATAATATCTCTAATTTATATGTAAAATGCTATGTTCAGGCTGGCTCTGATTAGTAGCAGGCTGACATTCCCTACCCCTAAAATGAGTCTCCAACTCATAGGATAAAATGTAAAAAATATGTAAGAAGGGTTTATGAAAAAAAATTTTTTGTGGTATTCAAGACACTTAATTCCTTTTAGCAGCTCTGTAATTCCTTAAGTGAATGGCTCCATCAGGTATGTTGCTTTCTGGAAGCCACTCATCCTTGTCTGCAGATTGGTGTTTATATCTGACTAAGTAAAGTCTAGTATCTTTTCCATTAATCCTTTCTTTCTTATCCTTCAATATTCTAGATACATGGAGTTTTTCTGCCTTACTGGGTTCTAACAAAGGAACTGGGGCTGCTGGCAAAGGTTCAGAGTTGTCACGTAAGGTATAAGGTTTAACTAAACTGACTGGGAAAACAGGGTGTTTCCTAGAAAGTTCATCACTTAGAATAACCTCTACTGCATTCTTGCCATGCAAATCTTTGATAGTGAAAGGACCTACAAAAGATGGTTTAAGCTTCTTGTTCCCACCTAAATTATTAAAATTGATAGTTGACAAAAGAACTTTATCACCAATTTTAAAATCAGGCTGCTTATGGCTTTTATCCCATCTGTTCTTATTATACTCCACTGCATCCTCAACACACTTCTGAGCATGTTTATGGGTAACATCTAGCATCTTTTTAAAGTCAAGAGCTGTAGGATGAATATGGGGTAATTTATCATTCAAGGTATCTTTGGGCATCCTAGGTATCCAGCCTCTTTCAAGAACAAAGGGTATCTCATTGGAAGAAGAATGCTTGCTGCTGTTGTAAGCAATTTCCAAAGCAGGCAAAAGGCTAACCCAATCATGAGTGTATCCATCATGGTTTTTGAATTCAAGACCAAATGCACAAAACCTGCGCAGCATATCCTCTAATGTCTGGATCATTCTCTCAGCCAAACCATCAGTTTGGGGGTGGTAAGCTGTAGAAAAGGCTAATTTTGTACCCAACATATCATGAAGATTTCTCCAAAATTCAGAGGTAAATTTGGGGTCTCTATCACTGATTATAATTTTGGGAATGCCCACATCTGCCATTATCCTATTCCAGAATATCATGGCTACTTCCATAGCAGTGTCATCCTTATGATTAGGGATAAACCTAGCCCTTTTGGAATATCTGTCTACTACCACTAGGACTGAATTGTAAGAATAATCTCCTCCAGGGGGAAGACCAGTAACAAAGTCCATGTTAATTATTTCCCATTTAGTAGTGGGTTCAGCAATTTTCTGAAGTAAGCCATATCTCTTACCAGTCTGCTTATTGGACTTCTGACAAATTTCACAAGATTTGACATAGTCAGCTACTTGAGACCTCCAGTCTTTCCACCAAGCTGTATGCTTAATTCTTTCTACTGTTCTGTCTTCAGAAAAATGGCCAGAGTTGACATTATCATGGCATTCATACAAGATATTATCTATCTGGGCTTGATCACAAAGTACTAGAACACTAGAGTGCCTATTTCTGAAATATAACAGACCATCCAGAAGTGTAAATCTTCCTTCAGCATATGGCTTGGCCAGGTTTGGGGGAAGACTGGCAATTAATTCAGGTGAACTGTTCTCATTTTTCAATATATCCACTAGTTTAAGCAATTCTATATGGTCCTTATAGCTGTCTTGGACTAAATTGTAGAAGGCAATGTCCAAGTCACACACATGAATACCCAAAATAGGAAAAATATCTTCATCCTCTGGATCCCAGGCAGGATTATCAGGAGTGTTAGGCAAGGCCCACCTACTAAGCCCATCAGCATTTCTATGCTTGATTCCAGCTTTATGAACAATTGTCATATGTCCCCTGTACTGTTGGATAGCAATCTGCCACCTGCAGCATATGTCTGTTAGGGGTTTTCATGTTCATAA